GATGGTGCCTTCTTGAGCGACAATAATAGACCAAACAGGCTGCTGGGCTTTGTTGAACAAATCTGTTGATTTTATGTCTGTGTATCAGTGCTGACTCACCTCTTAGACTAACAGCTAACAGCTACGTCTGCAGGACTCACCCTTCACTTTTTGTTGCTGTTGTTCACCTTAGATGTGTGTTTAAGGCCTCTTCATATCCCACTCAGCCTCAGATGAGTACTACTCTGAACTGCATACGAAAAAAAACCTCAGTTTTTATATGTATTCAGACCTTCTATAGCCTCTTGCAACTTATTTTTTTTCTGTAATAACTGTGAATTGCAGAGGTCTGTTAAGATGATCATTTAGACCAGAGAGAAGTTTTTCAAATATTATGGTATTATAGTATTATGGTATATGGTTTGTTTATTTTTGTACCTACTCCGTGTCTTTGCAGATTGTCCAACCAACCACTGTTGGTTACCGCAGACTTTGTATTTTCTTTATTGTCATAGCTTGACTAAAATACAAAACTAAAATGTTTAAACAAGACAATATAACTATGAACAAAACATATCATCCATCCATCCAACCTTTTTCATCCGCTTATCTGGGTCACGAGGGCAGCAGTCTTCACGACCGCAACCCAAATCACACTGCACCACACCAACCCCCCCGAATCTTCCTGCACGTGGTGAGTTCACAGGAAGGCACCAACCGCCCTAACCAGGATTCGATCTTGCCCAGGAGGTGAACCCTGGGGTTCTACACCAATGACAGAGACATTGCCTCTGGGTCAAAGTGCCACCAGAAAAAGAAACTGTTTGGGAACCACTGTTTGAACCTCCATAGAATCTGAGTCTGTGACAGGAAGTGGACCTGATGTCATACAGGTGTGGAGCACAGTAGTTGGTCTTCCAGCAGTTTCAAAACCAGATCATTTCAGTGGAATACACAGAAAGTTGAACCTTCAGTGCATATCTGAAGGAGTTTCATGATTGGACATGAGAGTTCTACAAACCATGATGTGCATTTTCTCAAACTCTGACAGTTGCGTTGCTGTTCAATCCAGAGTCAATGCCTCACTGACTCCGAGGCTGCAGGTCCATAGCACTGCGGCCTGTTTTCACCAGATGAGGTGGAAAATTGAAAAGTGTCTGACGGATGTCATTGTTCAAACACACGCCTTCCAACAAACACACACACACACACACGCACGCTGTATATGATTATGCATGGTGCTAACTTGCTAAATTTTGTGAATTTTTGAGCGTTTGAAGTGAAGAGGTGTGGATGAGTGTACGCGTGTGTCTGTGTTTGTGTGTGTGTGTGTTAGCTGGTTCATTCAGAGGTACACATGCACTCATGCTCATAAATAGGAGACATGCATTATTCATACCCTACTCCTCCATCTAATGCCCCTAATGTGCCCAAACAGCCATAATCTACTCTGCTATCAAGGTGGCAAAGACCCCTGACACACACACACACACACACAGAGTTGTAAAACTCGATTATAAAATTTGTAATTTAAAAAAAAAAAAATTTTACAGCCACATCTATGTTCGATTTTGCTACATCTGCCCCTTGTGTTTTCTGACTTCATTCCTCCCCCATAATTCCCCGTTCCGTTTCTTCTGTCTTTGTTTCCCTAACAGAAAATATGTATCTCAGAGAAAAGCTTCTGCAGACCCTACTGTTCCCCTCCTCGGGAGTGGAGGTTAAATTAGTTCTCCGCACATTCATAGCTCCGTCTAAACAAGAAATCCTCTCTCTGAAGTTCTTGCTGCAAATACTAATAATCTGAAAGGTTTTTTTTTCTCTGTGTTTTTTTTTCTCCAGTTAAATTCACTTTATGGCCTAAAAAGGCAACCGTGTAGATAAAAGAAGCCCTGAAAAAACATAAAACCAGTGGAAGGTCTGCTGTTTATCGCTGTTGTTTTTCCTGTGTGACTTTTACTGATAGTGTTTTATGATCTAATCACTCTATAATTGGTTTGCCCATTTACTCTCTGTGTTTTTAATTGCTTTGCCGGATTGTGGTAGGGTTTCGCTGAGGTTCTTTTTTAGGACAACGATACATTTCCTGAAATGTACAATAACTCAAGACTTTTAATTTGTTCAATTTGATAATAAAAGTTGAAGAGTTTACTCTTCTTCAAACCACCAGATCCCGGTCTGGTAGTGGGCTGTATGTCATGTGGTACAGAGCTGCCAAAAAAATTGTATATTTTTTAAAAAAAATTCAGGATTACCTGTCAGTCACACTTATCATGATACTTTTCAAAATAAAAGTCTTTGTAGAGCTTTCTGTGCTTTCAAAAAAAACTTACTTTATTGTGAGCATTGTCTACCGCAGCAAACGTTTTTGGCCATGCACTCCCTTCTACATCCTTCTACAACCTAACCTCGATGCATTTACACGTTTTTATTGTGTAGGAAAATCTAAAAAAAAAAAAAAACAAACCCAAAACATTCCAAACCATCACAATTTTTATCTTGTGCACCCCCTAGTGGCAGCTCGCACACCCCTGCAATGCACGCACCGTACTGTTCTACCACCAGTTGTCATTCACATGTTGCCAGTAACTTGTGATTAAGAAGTTGATGTTTTTTTCACCCAAGGACACATTAGTATCAAAACAAGCAGAGTTAGATCTGAAAGGGTTAACGAACAGTGTTTAAACCAGGGTCGTCAAACTCATTTTGGTCACATACAGCCTGATTAGATGTCAAGTGGGCCAGACCAGTACAATGATAACATAATTACCTATAAATAACAATAACTCCATGTTTTTCCAATTTGTTTTCATGCAAGTATATTAAAAAATATTCATATTTAATGAAATATTACTTGAAAAAACATCATGGACATGAAATGTTTGTGCATTTCTTATTATTTTGGCCTGCAGGCTGTATGTTTGACACCTCTGGTTTAAACCCATTAGGGCTGAATGTACTGAGCCTTTGTTGTATGATTTAGTTGTTAGTCACTATAAATTCATTAGGACCCACAGAACACAGTGTCTGTGTGAAGATTCATTTGGTTTTGCGTTCCTTTGAGGGGAAAAAAATAGAAGAATGTTCCAGAGTTGATCACTATTATTTAATGCATCTGCTCATGTGAAGAGACGTGTCAAAATCACTGACCCTAACCTTTCACATGACACTGGTGGCATACAGTTTGTTTTGACACACACAGAACACGCCCCTCTCATTGAGCACGGAGACGAGACAATGACTCCATTCATTCCTTAACTCCTTCAGTCTCCTCTGTCTTTCCCTCTTCTTTGTTCACCTCACCACTCCATAAACGGCGTAAATGTGAAAACCACGACCCGCCACGTCTACGCCCTCGCAGCTTCTCTGACCTTGATCAGCTCTGGTTGTTGTTGCCTTTGCACGGCCTCTTTACTCAGACAGAAACTGAGGATTACAGGGGTTACCAGTTTCTGTGTGTTCACAGTACAGGTTGACCAAAGTAATTAGCCCTAAGGGAGTGCCAAGATAAGGTGCCAGCTCTCTGTATGGTCATGTGTTCAGATAAATCACGGACGCAGTATAAGATGCTGTATTTGTGACACGAGAGGTCATCGAACATTTGTCTCTGTAGGTAAAGGTAGAAGATAAGAAAAAAGATAAAAAATAAATAAAATAAAAATGAATGGGACCAACAGTAAATCATCCCATTTTAAAATATATTAAATAGGGATGTCCGATAGTATCGGGCTAACTGATAGTATCAGCACGATATTAGCATAATTGTAATATCTGTAAGAATTGTTATCGGTTTTTCGTCCGATAATGAAAACCAGATAACTAATGATCATCACCAAATGACGTGTGCCCTAAAATAGTTTTGGGGAAAAACAGCTGTATATGAAAGTGAGAGTCACTAGATGGCAGCATTGCAGCTCATTTTATTAATCTATTTTATTAATAAACAGGGGATTGTATGCAGAATTCTGGTGCCTAAATCGGTATTGGTTGATGTCGGAATCGGAAATTAAGTGGTTGGACAATATCAACGTATCGGATATTGGCAAAAGGTTAATATGAGACATCTCTAATTTAAATAAATAAAGCATAGGGCACAGTGGAAAGAGCTCCACCTGCCAGGTAGAGGGTTGGGGTTCCAAATCCAGGTGCCTATCCAAGGGTGGGTTGGGTCAGAAAGGGTGTGCTTTGTAAAAAAAACAGTGCCAAATCACTACGTTCTACATGGACCACCACCCATTAACCCTAACCCTACGTTCTGCTCTTCCTGTAAACTCTGTGGCTCTGTAATGACATGACCCAGTTTCCTCCTCTGCTCTGCTCAGACAATGAGACAATGACCACTGAAATGTGTACAATGTTCCAGATGAATTACTGATTATTGATTCATCCTAAAGTTGGTGTTTCTCTACACATCGTTCTGTTTGCACAACACCAGTCAATATCAGGTCAGTTTTGTCTCGACATACTTTACAGTTGAATTTAAACATAAATTATCCTGTTAAATGTTTGAAAAACGGAGGAATTAAACTACAAAGTAAAGCAGAAAAATAAGTCATTTCAACAGGAAGAAATCGCCATCACATCCAGACCTAGCGTCTGCCTCGGCAAAGAGAGAGAGAGAAAGGGAAGTAACCGGGGAGGGGGTCTTCAACATTCATCGCGAGTGTCCGTAAATGTTCCTAAAGTTAAAGATTTACCCAAAATGACGTCCGTTTGACGCCGGTTTGTGTTACAAGACGCCTGAGTCAGACATCCTCTCTCACTGTGGATTCAAACCACTGACTTCACAAAGTCCCTCAAAGTTTGTGTCCCCGTGTCTCCGTTTGCACGTGCTGATTCAGAAATCATAAAATAAACACAAACAAAGAGCGGAGGTTACAATGAGTTCGTCCGCTCCTAAGCCTGGAGTCTGACATTTCTCTGGTTTTTACCACATGATGTGCTGTGTCAGAGTGATGCTGACGGAGCTTTGTCTACCTGTGATCTTGAATAGAAATGATGAAAAGAAAGAAAGCTCTTACCTGACTGATGGTTTCACCAAAAACGTCCTTGTTTTTATTTCTTTTCTCTCGTTGGTTTGGCTTCAGCTTCCTGGGTGTTCCAGAGGAGGTGTGTGTCGAGTCTGCGAGGTGGCATGTGGGTGTCTGTGCGTATGTGTGTCTGTGTTTGTGTGTGTGTGTGTGTGTGTGAGAGAGAGAGAGAGAGAGAGAGAGAGAGAGTGTAAGTGAGCGAAAGTGAGAGACTCTGCTTTGTGCTGCCGACCTTGGTAAGAGTGTTGTTGTAACTGACTGCATGGGAGACATGGGAGTTTATGTGTGTGTGTGTGTGTGTGTGTGTGAGAGAGAGAGGGACAGAGAGAGAGACAGAGACACACAAACACATCCCAGCTTCAGGGAAACACCCCACCACTCCCCCTTCCCCTCAGGACCCTCTCTGCTCACCCGCTCCCCCCTCTTTATTTCTTGCCTTTTCTTTTTCTCCTCCATCATATTTTTTTTTCTATCTTTCTTCTGAACACCTCGAAGGACACGTGGAGTCAAAACATGTCCTATCTTCCCTCTTTGCTCCAGTTTTACTCCTTACTTCATTTTTCCCAGTTTTGAACCTCCTTTTTCTTTTGTCGCGCTCCTTCCTCGTCTTCCTTGTCCATCTGCTCGTCAGCTGATTCATAAACAAGTTACAGAGATGGGGCACAAAACAACCAAACAGTTCTAATTTCTCCTCCTGGAGAGCAGCTCTTTGTGCTTAAAATCAGTCGAACACAGTACGTTTTTGGGTTTTTTATCCATATTTTTTATGTTTGATGTTTAAGCTCCTAATATAGTTCCGCAAATACTCATAAAAAAGTCATTGGGTGGTGGTGTTTAATCATCAGTTTAATCATCAGCTTAAAGATTTTCTGATTTAATGTTTGACTATAGTGACTCACAGGTGTCGCCATTTATCAGGACAAACAACAGGAAAAATATCCCACTGTGATGACGTGGTGAGCTTCCCTTAAATAACCGAAAATCACATATGTCAAACTCGAGGCTCACGGGCTAAATCTGGCCCGTCTCATCATTTTATGCAGCCCATCTAAAACTAAACCTGGGCAAACCACGCCCAGCATTTTACTTTTAGGCATTGGCAAACTAAGGCCCAGGGGCCGGATGGGGCCCGTTTAGCTTCTTAATCTGGCCCACCAAACTTTTCCAAATTATATTTTTTTTAAATAAGCATTTCAGCATTTTAGCCTTTATGCATGACTTTTACATGTCATTTATCTTAGTTCGCACAAACACTCACTCCACCGACAATTGTGGCCCGCGACTCAAAGTTTTGTTTCGGTTACTGGTAGTCAGATGGGTTTTCCAGTTAAGTGTCAAGTGAACAAATGAAAACAGATGTGTAAAACATGACGACTGTGGTTCCCGCTCTGTTTGGAATAGAAAGGATGAAGGTGTTTTCACATCTTCATGGGTGTATTGGCGTTAGCTCTGGTCATGTGTTGTTTCTGAAACGCCTGTGAAGGATTCCCATGTTCTTGGCAGAAACATCTGAAGGAACCGTTCTTCTTTACTTTTGTTTGAAACTGCATCAAGTTCTGCGAAAATGCGTTGGGGGTTCTGATTCATCGCATCCTGCACCTTTCTGTTCTGCAAAAAAGTTGGAAATTGTTCAGCCAATTTCCAAGCGTCGACTTTGAGGATCTGCCAGTCAAAAAATGTCGACACACGTGTGTGTTTCTGTGTGTGTGTGTGACTGGATTAGAAGGAGCTCCATTTCTGGGAACAAAGCTCCTCCACCCGCTGAAAAATGGATGCTAGGAGTCTCTGTTATCATTGTGCCACTGTCACCATGGTTTGTGACTTGTTCAATTGCAAGGAGGTGGTGAGGAGGAGGAGGTGATGAGGA